GAAAGGCTTAATGATGTTGGTGGGAAGTAAGAGTGATAAACAAAAAAAGAGAAAATAACACTAGAAAAATATTTTTAAAAATCATTCAGATAAGGTTAAAAGCATTGCCATGTAAAGGCCAGCTGAGATTTGCTGATTAGATGTCATGAATGTCTAGTCATCATGGTTGTGTGACTTCTTTCAGCATCATGGAATTTAGAGTCCAATCCAATTCAACAAGCATTTACTAACCATCTTCTTTGTAAGTCAGTCAGTAAGTAGACTAGCATTTGTCAAGCATTTACTGCGTTCCAGGCAAAATGCTGAAGATACACCCCCTCCCCCAAAAAAAGGGCAAAAACAGTCCCTACCCTTAAGGAGATTATATTTGAATGGGAGAGACGTGACATTGATAACTAAGTACAGACAAGGTATATACAGAATAAAAAGAAAGCAATCTGAGAGGGGAAGGCATTGGCAGGTAGGGGTACTGAGAAAGGACTCCCGCTAGAAGTAGGATTTGAGCTAAGTTTTGAAAGAAGCCCGATTAGAACGGAGAATATTCCAGGCATGGGAAACAGTCAGTGCCAAGGAACCGTACTAGGATTGGAGCATATAAAGACAAAACCAAAAAGAGTCTCTGCCCTTAGGCAACTTGCTGGTGTCAGTAGATCTGAGTGAAAATTCTATCTCTGCCACTTAGAACCTATGTGACCTTGGGCAAGGTGCATCATCTCTCTCTAGGTCTCAGTTCCTTAGTCTATAAAATGAATTGGTTGGATTAGATTAACTCTAAGGTTCCTTCTAATTAAAAATTCTGTGATCCCATGACTGTAGATATGAGTGCTACATTTTTTTTTACATTTTTTGGGGGGTGAGACAATTGGGGTTAAGTGACTTGCCCAAGGTCACCCAGCTAGTAAATTTCAAACATTTGAGGCTGGATTTGAACTCAGGTCCTCCTGACTCCAAGGCCAGAGCTCTGTCTACTGTGCCACCTGAGTGCTACATTTTAGGAAGGATATTGACAAGCTAGTCCGTGTCCAGAATAGGATGGCTAGAATGGTGAGGACATATATGAAGCAGTCGAGAGTGATGGTAATGCTTAACCTGGAGAAAAGGAAAAGATGTGTTAGTGGCATGATAGTTGTCTTCTCAAGATGGTGGTCAGTCATGAGAAAGAGGCATTATACTTGTTCTGCTTGGTCTTGGGAGGCTGAATAAGGAGTAATGAGTGAAATGTGTTGGAGGCAGAGTTAAATTCAAAGTAAGGAGAAACTTTAGATGAAGTAGGATTATTCCAAAATGGAGGGGCTATGTAGAGGAGTAGTGGGCTTCCCCTCACTGGAAGGAGGGGGAGACAGGGAGACAGAAAGAGATGGGGAGAGACAGAGAGACTGAGAAAGAACATTTATTAGGGCACTTACTATGTGCCAGGCAACGTGCTCAGCACTAGGGATACAAAACCAAGAAAATGAGATAGTCCCTATCTACTCTCAAGTAGCCCACATTCTAATAAGGGAAAACAAAACATAAAAAGGACTTGGAATGAGGAAGAAGACGGATGAAGGAGAAGGGAAGGATGATGGTGGGAAGGATAGAGGGTACTAGCGCAGGGTAAAGGCAACCAAGTCTGAACAGAATGCCCCTCAAGATGTGATGGTCCCTCTTCCCCTCCCATGATTTACCAATTAGTGGAGAGGCCTCAAGGTAAACCACTTGCTGGGCATCTGTACAGAGGATACTCACGTAGGTGTGAATCAGACAAGTACTCTCAGAGAAACTGATTGGACCACCATGTTATTTGGGTTATAAAAACATTCAGAAGAAGAATAGAAGCATTCAACTTAATGGAAGTCCCATCCACAAGCTTCAGTAGTCAGACATCCATGTCTGGAGGGATTTTTGAAGAAAACCCAAAGGAGGAAACCCAGTGAATACCAACAGGGAACGTGAGGCAACCGGGGTTACCTCAACAGGAAGGAAACAGTTGCCTTAATAGAAAAGAGAAGCTACATCTGTTGGCTTAATATTTGCTATGGCTTCTGGGGAGGCTGAAGGGAACTTTGAGGCAGGTAGCATACCTACTTGGAGCCCCCTGGGATCCATCAGCCCAGAATTTAGGCTCCCGGCCAGCATGCTGGCAACACCTGGTCTCCCAGAAACAATACAAAGGTGGAGCATCTAGATATGGCAGGCAGTAAGTCACAGAAGAAATGCCTAGACTACCCTGCCAGTGATTTCATAAGAGTATAATGTAAGAGTGATGTAAAGGTTACAGAGTCCTGGAATGTTAGCTTTCTCTGGAAGGAAATTAGAGCTCATACATTCCTACTCTTTCAGCCCTCTCACTTGCTAGTGACTTCTTCCCATAAATCACTTTGTACATCCTGTAATTCCTATTTACTTTTCTATGTGCCTGTATTGTTTACCATTCCCCCCTCCCAAAAAAACACAAAAACCAAGCTCTTTCAGGGCAGGCATTGTTTCTTTTTTTGCCATTGTAGTCCCAGTTACTGTTGTTCAGTCATGACTGATACTTCATGACCACAGTTGGGATTTTCTTGGCAAAGACACTGGAGTGGTTTGCCATTTCCTTCTCCAGTTCATTTTACAGATGAGGAAACTGAGGCAAACAGGATTAAGCGACTTGCCTAGGGTCACACAGCTGGATTTGAACTGAGGAAGACTGTCTTCCTGACTCTAGACCTGGCTCTCTGTGCACTATGGCATCACCTAGCTGCCCCTTGTAGTTACAGTCCCAGTCATGTTTTTGGATCTGACTTGGGATTCCATTTGCACAGGGAATTCTCTTCTGCTGATGCAGTCCATAGGGTTGGAGATTTAAAACTGGAAAGCACCTTAGAGGCTATCAAGTTCAATTCTTCCTTATTCTGCAGATGAGGAAACTGAGGCAATGAGAGGTTAAATTACTTGCCAAGCATCATACAACTAGTGTTTGAGGCAGAATTTGAATCCAAGTTCTCCTGATTCTTTAAGTGCAGTATTCTTATCAACTCAGCTACTCTGCCTCTCTGAAATTTATTTTTAGAAAGCAGCCAGACACACAAGTCTAATAAAGTCAACAAATATTTATTAAGTGTTTACTATGTGCCTAGGCATAGAGCTAAGGGCTAGGAGTACAAATCCAAGCAATACGACAGTTCCTTCCCACATTTTAATAAGGAGTAGACAATATACAAAAGGGAGCTGAAAGTAGTGGGGGAGGGGTGTGTGTGTGTGTTGATTATGGTAACAAGTTCAGAGAACGAAGAATCGGCTGGTCCGATCTTCGAAATGGAGTTTCAAGGAAGAAATCACCAACAGGAGAGTACTGGAGTAAAGAGAAAATGAAGCTGCTAAATCACTTGGCTGAAATCTAGACAATGGAGCGAAGCCTCAAAACTTTTAGCTAAGAAACAGCTCTGGTACAGAACACTTGTTTCCTCTAACTCAATGATGTCACGTAGGCAGATACAGAGACAAATACAATGTCGTCGGACAGCTTCTTGATGGACTCCTCAGAGACTGAGTCATGAGCTTCGTAACAGCAGACTCTTAATAAATGCATACTGAATGAATCAATGAACCCTTTCATTTTTGAAATTAGAATCTAAGAAAAACAACTTGGAAGGATTTAAAAGCTCTGATAAGCGCAATGGCCAACCACAACCCCAGAGGACCAATGACAGATCATGTTTCCCATTTCCTGACAGATGGATCTAAGATGCAGAATGAGATACATTTTTGGACATAGCAAATATGTGGATTTGTTTTCTTTCATCGTGTATGTTCGTTACAAGGATTGTAATTTTTTCTTTTTCTTTTTTTTTTAATTTGTGGTAGGAACTTTGTAGCAAAGGTAGAAGCTAGTAATAGTGTTAAAAAAAATAATAAAACAATTATTTAAGGGTCTTTAAAATGCCCAGATGGGAACAGGAGGAAGTTCATAGAGAAACAAAAGTAATTAGGACAGCTTTGAAAATAGCATGTTGAATTTATTCTATTCTTTTAAAAAACTGTATGTAGTAGAGGTTTATAATTTCACACATAAGTCTCTCTTTCTGTTCTGCTGTTTGTTCTGCTTTAGTGTTTGTTAAATTCAGAATTTTTAAAAAATGAAAATGTAAAATTTGGAACTTTCTCCTTGGAAAAATTAGGATTCTGAGCTTTGGTTCAGTCAAGTGATTTGCCCAAGGTCACACTGCTAGTTACTGGAAGAGATAGGCTTAGAACCCACATCTCCTGTCTCTCTGTTCAAGATACTTGCCTCTACCCAATTAAATACCTGAAATAATGTGGTAAATATTTAACAACCAGATCTCCAAAAAACAAATCAAAGGAAAAAAACCCCTGCAAGACATTCTTAAGTTTAATCTGTATTACAACCTTGTTCTCCATCACTTTCTTAAGTCTAGACAATCAACAAAACAATAAATCAAGCCCTTAATTTGTAGCATTTGCTGATTTCTGAAATATATATACATATGTATGACAGATTATATATATTACATATATACTAATAATTTGACAATCTCCTAGCCTGTAAGAGCTGACTCCACTACACCCCTAAGCTAGCCAGATAATGCTTAAGATGTTTACACATTTTAACAGGAATCATTTTCTGGCATTAGCTAGTCAGATGACTTTTGTTTTGCTTTGTTTTATTGTATGTGTGGGGGGAGGGGCGGTGTGAGATGGAGCGGGGGAGGTGAGAGAAGGAGAGTATAGCAGTATAGGGGAAAGACCTTGTGGTGCTCCTGAAATCATACCTCTGAAGTAGCCACAAAGGAAAACCAATAGGGTTTTGTATATGGGAGAGGTCACAGTTAACAAGTGGCCCAATTCTCTTCTCAAGTGTGACTGACACCAGGCAACCACTCGCAATGCGTGGGGTTATTGGGACCTTTCTTCTAAGTACTTCCATGTAAATCACCTCTGCACCACCCCCATCTCGCCCAACCTCCACCCCCCATCTCCCATTCCCCATCCCCCATTCCTACCCCCGCATCTTCCGATGGTCATATTGCCGGGGCAGCTTACACTAAAACAAGTACTTCAGTCTTTTTTTTTTTTTGGGCAGACTTTCATATTTGCCTTGGCCCCTCCTCTCCCAATTCTCATCCCTACTGTCACGCGACTTGGCAGAGGCGGAGAGCTGGCAGGAGGAGGTACAGTCCTGCGGCTCTCTCTGCTCCTCTACAAATAAAGGGTTCTTCGTCCCAGCTCCCACCTGGAGGAGGGAGAAGCCCTCGCTCAATCCAGCCTGGCTTTGCTCGCCCAGCCAGCGACGCGTCTCTGCCTCTCCCAAGACAGCTGCCCCGGACCGCCTCCTCCGCTCTCGCTGCATCCAGTCGCCTTGACCTTGGCCTTGGCCGAGATAGGTAAGAGTTAGGGGGCGGAGGGAGCCTCCTCCGGGGATCCCGTCCCTCCGGTTTGGCCCTGCCCCAATTACCTGGCCCATCCTGCCCCACCTGGCCAGGGAGGGGGCTCAGACACACCGCAGCTTGCAGCCTTGGAAGAGCTGCTTCCCCGGGAGCGCGTGGAGGAAAGGGGAAGTGCCGAGAGTCTGGCCCTGGATGTCGGCGTGCCTGCTTCTGAAAGGAGTGGGACAGAGGGAAGTAGAGACAGGCTCTTCCTTCTTGTTGATGTGCTTGACTTGGCAGTTGAGACACACTTGGGAAAGTGAAACGTAGATGGACCAAGTAAGGACAAGGAGGTGGGAAAAAGGAAGGAAATAACCGAGAAAACCCCGAAGTGCCCACAAAAATAACGTGCGCCTTGACCTTGTGTCCCCAGGGTCGGTGCTAGATGCGTGGCCAGTAGAAGGAGGCCGGACGGAATTGTGAGTTTTGGTTTCCCCCAATCTCTTGCTGACCGGGAAACACGGGTGGGCTCAGAATGCTGCGTAGCCCAAGGGGCCAGTAAGTTGAGAGCTCAGGGACTTTAAACGCCTTCCATTTCGCCCATTTTACAGGTAAGAAAATTTAAACTCACAGTAATAAGGTCGAAGCAGACCCTAGTCGTCGGAAGCGAAATTTCGGGTTTGGGAACTTTTCTATGGGCTCCAGCCTCTTTCAAGACGGCTCAATCTTTATGGAAGAGCAGGGATGCAGAAGAGCAGTATTACAAGACCTGTGAGTTCATAAATGTAAGGAGCTCCCAGTGTGGAAATGTTTTCCACCAATGCGGGATTGCAGTCCAGTCTTAGAGAGCTGTCTGGGGAATTGAGAGGTTAAAAAACACCCAGGTTTACACAGCCCTTCTGTTTCAGAAAGAGGACTTGAAGTCCGTCCTGACTCCCAGGCCAGCTCTGATTCACTCTGCTATGCTGCCCACTCATCTACTCTGGTGAGGAAGGCGTCGGGCTTAATAAGGGAACATGAACCCAGGTTTCCTGACTCTTGGCTTATTTTCGCTGCACAGGGCTTTTTCTAGAGCCTAATTCTGTTAGAATAGCAACTTTCTTTCCTTAAAGCTGACTCTGCAGGCCACAGAAGAAAGTTGGTTCCTTGGGACTTAACTAGTTGAGCATTTTCTATATCTTTAGTAGCTTGAAAACACCCTCATCCCCACAATAGGTGCACAGTTACTGTTGTGCAACAGCTACCGAGTAAAGCTTTTATGGATCTGGGCTTTGGGAGATAGATATGATAGAAAGATAGGCACAGAAACAGACACAGATAGGTGATGGACAGGGGACAGTTATTCATTTGGGTCTGACTCTTTGTGATGCCATTTGGAGTTTTCTTGGACCAAGATACTGGAGTGGCTTGCCATTTCTGTCTCCAGTTCATTTTATATATGAGGAAACTGAAGCAAACAGGGTTAAGTGACTTGCCCAGGGTCATATAGCTAGGAAATATCTGAGGCCAGATTTGAACTCAGGAAGATGAGTCTTCCTGTCCAGCACTCTATCCACTGTGCCACCTAACTACTAGGTAGGTAGATAGGTAGACAGATAGAAAGAAAGAAAGAAAGAAAGAAAGAAAGAAAGAAAGAAAGAAAGA